GCGTGCCTTGCAAGCGCAAGGAGTCAAGTTCGCACCCCCGGAAAAAAAAAAAAAAAAAAAAAAAAAAAACAAAAACCCAACAACAATAAAGCAAACAAAGCAAAAAGTAGCTTTAATTCGTAAAGGCAACGATTAAAATTTTCACTTTGTGCTTGGTCTCTGGAACGGAACCAGCCCTGTCATCCTTTCCCTGTCTCACCCCTCGATACTGCACTTCAGAGTTCAGTCGGGTGAGTTCGACTACTCCTAGCTCAGGAAGACTAACCCAGGAAGCTGCACATACAGTCTTGGGGTACTCCTTCCGTCTCTATACCTCGCCTTCCTCCGCTACGGCTTCTTTCAAGTCCATGTCTCCGTCTCCATCAGGTTCCTCCGGGATTGCGTCTGGGTCTGAAGTCTCCAGGACCACGGGAGCAGAGGCCGTCTCATCTGACTCCCCTGCCTCTCCACCTTTGTCGGTGGGCGACTCTCGGGCACTGCCCATCGCAGCCAGCACTGGAGCGGAGAGGAGACCGCAGCGCTCTCAAACGTAGGCGCTGCAAGACTGAGCTACACAGCAAGCCCCTAACTCGGTTCCTGTTGTCGCGCCCGGATGACATCACCCCTACGGGTCCTCGGAGGGGTTATTTTGAAGCTCGCGAAAGACTTGAGGGATCCAAAGGTGCAGGCAAACAACTTGAGGTGCTCTGGTTTTGTGGTCAAGGGGAGAACAAAGGCTGGGAGTGTGAATCTTCCGCTGTAGGAAACCAGCATTTGTGAAGGAGCACAGTCTTGTTTACCGTATCTTTTTTTTTCCCCTTTCCGCCGTTCTAAATACACACAATCAGTGAACCCCTTCCGAATCCGTCTCCCTTAGGGTAGTCGGGGACGGGGCGAACACCGGTTCCATCGCGTGCTAGTATAGAGAAAAACGCGGCTACCTTGGACTAGTAATCTCTCAGCCAGGTACTCCTGGTATAGTTTAACTGGTCCGGGTTTGCACCCGGATCGCTAGCATTTCCCTTCCGATTCGCAAGTTCCTAGCTGGAGTCATCGCTTGAGAGTTGATCCAATTTATTCACTCGACAACCGCTGACCGCTTCCAGTCTGGAACGGTGCTACATGGTTACCGGGGAACAAAACAGACAGGGTTTACTTAATAACATGCTTTTGCGGGGGCTTCAAACGTGTTTTTTTTAAAGTAACAATTTGTTTAATCTCATCAAAACTAAAAGGACAAAAGGCGGTCTCTCCTTTGAATGTCACCAGTTCAGACTGGGAGGATGGGGTGGCGAGAATATTTTATTTTATGGTTTTCCTCTTTCCCCGAAGAGGTGGGAGGGCGTTTTACTCATTTCTGTAGCACTAGGTCTCCGCGCGGCACACTTCGTCTATGCACGCGGCAAGGACGGACTTGGAAAGGCAGGCGCGCGTTACCTGGATCGTTACCGTGTGTCCAGTGCCCCGAGCCCAGGGCTGCTGGAGGCCCCAGGTGGGCCCATGGGCTCTTCCACCGCCCAGGCTCCCGACGCGAACCTGCGCGGCTGCGC